CCGCGTCTGTCTCATTGTCTAATACTTTATTGGACGTAGCTACAGATGGTTATCATAACCGTGAGTTCGTATTGATATAAGGATTTACATAAAAAATATTTCGACTTTGTTATTTATAACCCGTCAACAATGATTGTATTAGCGGGAATCTTAAAAAAGTTACGTCTCTATTTACTTTTATTTTTTAAATATCTCGGGAAAATTAATTAACAATCTTTCTATGAGTTTATTTTGTGCCAATCTGCATTATTTGTCTATTCGGTAATGTGTTTACTTCTACGCAGGTCGACCGGGAATCGAGTGCACTTAGTCTGACCTTTTCAAGTTCAATGCGCGGTTTCCTATATTTAGATACGTGCACCTTGTTCACAACCACAACCTGTTCGAATCACCTGTTTACTTGTTTACTTTGGATCAAGCAAACTAGAAATAGAAATATGTAGAGTAATTGTCCTCTAATTAAGCACTTATTTTTTATTCTGTTCTTCAGCATGGAATCCATAAAAACAATCATTACATTTAATAAAAATCTAATATTAATTATTGTTACTAGATAGAGAAATTTTATCAAAAGATTACGAAGCCAAATCGCGGCTTACGGTACAATATCACGTGAGAGAGATGGCCTAATGAATGCATGACCTAATCACGGTAAACGCTACTTCTGGAAAATTCTGGCGGGAAACGAGTAGTGGCCGGCGCAGGATGGCGGCCATTACGGCGATTGTCGCGCCACTCCGGATTACGCATAATATCACAATGGCGTGTACAATGCGCGCCTCGGTGCGGCCGAACGGGAATGATGAATTGACCTAGGGTCGGACCATTGATGATCGATGGGAAAAATTGAGACAATTGAATGAAAATTTCCATTGAAACACAAATTGAGATTGTATACTCATGATCTGTTTAGCATGTATTTTAAAGTTGTCGTCTTTTGTGTCTTAAAGTCGAAAGCGCTGTAAGCGATAGGTGCTGTATTTTGTTACCGTTGTCTTTCTATGTTTTGCGTTTGTTTTTCTCATTATCCCGTTTCTTTATTTTTAGAAGAAATAATAACAAACATCCGTAAAAGGCAATAATCTCATTCAATTACCGTTTTTATTTCAAAACAATAGATTTATCTTTACTTGTATTAACGACACGATAATAACAGATTGGTAAACTGGTAAATACCAAGAACCAGGCTACTTTCGACTTAACCTGATAGCCTTAAGATCGATTTTCATTTTTTAAGAATGTAATACAATACTAAAATTTTATTGTGTTCATTCAAGTATTGGTTCCCGTAGATTGTTTGCACATATAGTTATTGTTGCACAACTTATCTTTAATATCGTCGCTATATCACCACAAGAAAGTATCTATTAAGATTGAATATGGATGGCTACGAATGTAGAGACAGCCCGAAGAAAGTATGGATGGATTGTGTAAAAGATATTAAGCTTAAAAAGGGTGTGAATTTAAATAGTACGGCTGATAGAGATATGAGGAAAAAGCCTAACCTATATCCTAGCAGAAGACCAGAGGTCGAGTGCGCAAATTTAGAATTATTCGGCTCCCATTAGAGACCAATTTAACTTTATTGGCTACGTGCGTTGCTAGCCACTAATACTAGTAGCTGAGTCTGCTTTTTTTCTATAAAGCCCGCTTCAGGCGATCAGTAATAACTGAACAGTTGAAATGTTGACTTAAATCTATTTGTTAGAACTGAGCAATTACAGCTTGCTATATTTTTCAAATTTACTTTTATTTGATTTCCCAAGTAAACATGTTGACACCAATCTTTATAAAAACTTAAAAGCTTAATATGGACCTGCCCTTTATTAACATGATTTCAAGACAGTTCGGAACTTTCAAAAATCTGCAAAAGTTATTGACTATAAACATTTTTGGGAAGTACTCGTATAAACATCAAAAATTATTGTTTTCTTTTCAGATCTATTATTATCTAATATGGGTGCCAATGCGTTTTGAATATCTGGATAACGAAGACAATCATCTAATCAATCATGGCTGCTGTAACGATCTTTTCGCTATGTCTCTTGATCAGCATTGTCTATGGCTTTAATGGCGACAGCTTCGAGCTGGAGTGTCCTGACGAGTGCGACTGTCACTACTTCAGAATCAACTGGGTCACCGACTGTTCTGAGAGTAACCTTACTGAGGTTCCCTATGATGAGCTGAGCATGAGCGTTTACATTCTGGATCTCAACGGTAACAACATAACAGCTCTGCTGACCTTCCCCCATGACATCAAGATGAGGAGATTACAGGTCGCGAACAACAGACTCACCAGGGTCGAGAAAAATTCATTCAAAGGACTCGAATATCTCATAGATGTCGATCTATCCGGAAACAATATCACATACGTTGATCCTGAGGCGTTCTTGTAAGTTAATTTGCATAATTAATATAAAGATATATATAAATTGGTATACGACTGTATTGATCTTGTTATACGACTGAGCAGTCAGAAAGAATCTTTAGAAATACTAAAGACTTCATTGAGTCAAGTAATTAGTTCAGAGAATTGTAATTTGCGTAATTCCCTAGATCTTCACAAATAGGGGATTTTGTAAACAAAATCGTAATTTCTCAGAAATTGATGTGACTCAGCAATCCGTGCATTTTTTTCTGGCTTTAATCCCATTACTTCTAGAGATGGCAATGTCAGGTGGAAAGCCGACAACAGCCAGGTCGTTGTATTTAATTATAATAAGGATGTTCTTATATCTGGTAGCTTTGAATTGCTTTATTGTTTGGCTACGATAATGCATGGTTTAGTATTATTGGAATTGTTTGGCGCAATATAAGGGTGAACCAGTTACGCGCCCTCATTAATTTAAAATAGAAACTCTTTAAATTAATCAATCATCTATTGGAAGATCATTCAATTATTTTAAGAAAACGAATTCAACATGTGGCCGCAGTAAGTAGATTACCAGGTGGCATGACAATAAATATTATTACACAATAGATGACAAAATTGTAGCAATTGGTGCTGAACTTGTGGCGAAGTAGAATGACGGCAATTTGCCTCAGCTCGGGCCAATATTAGATAATGGACGCACAAAGAAGGCAAATTGAATTCGCCACACACGCTTCTCGTTCGATATGGGGCCCCTTTATTCTTGTTTTGAATGTTTCAAGACAACTACATAATGCCTTACATTTATATTTACAACCGAATAGTACGAGTAAATAACTTTGATTTACCTTAATAACAATAGCTTTTATGTCTATTACAGAGATTCGCGGGGGCTTCTCAACGTGGAACTACAAGATAACCCGATCACGACTGTGGATGGACCGTTCCTGATATCCAGCACTTTGCAGTACCTCGACATCAGTTCCTGCAATCTTTCCGTTATCAACACGCAATTCTTCGACAACATCACATCTTTAACAACAGTGGATCTCTCTAGTAATCCTCTGCGTAACTTGGATGCCGGTGTTTTCGATGTCTTAACAAGTCTAGACAACTTAAATCTAAACGATTGTCAACTCACAACAATAAGCGAAGGCGCATTTTCTTCTTTAACAAACCTTAAGAGGTTAGAGCTCGCCGGTAATTTCTTAACAAACACCAACTGGTCGGAAGTGCTAGGTAATCTTATTAGACTGGAATATCTCAATTTGAGAAAGTCGGGTATTACTTCTTTGACCGAAGACACGTTTTCAAACTGCACAAATTTGGTCACGCTGATCTTAGCAGATAATGAACTGCGAGATTTAGACGTTGCAGCTATTTTGGGTAAGAGCGTTACCCACATGGAGTTATTAGATCTATCCAACTGTCACATTAAAGGTCCAATTTCTGGTGAAGCCTTTGCAAACGCGACTAATTTAAAAGTTCTATATCTTTCTGGTAATCCACTGTTCGCACCAGATTTACAAGAAGCCCTCGCACCTCTCCCCAAATTGGAAAGGCTTTTCTTAAGCAATTGTGGTTTACATAATCTTCCAGATAACTTTAACGTTTTTGACAACCTGCTAGAATTGGATATTTCGCATAATCCTCTCGTCAACGTATTTACTAAATTACTAGCTCCTTTGGAGAAACTCGAATATTTAAATATGGGCTACAGTAATTTATCTTACATAGGACCAGACTCTTTTGCAAAGATGACATCTATGAAGCGTCTTATTCTTTCTGGCAATGATCTACTATCTCTAGAAGCGGGTCTCTTTGGAAATTTAACGCAGTTGACAACATTAGAACTAGAATTCTGTGGACTTAAACGGCCCCTTAACGCAAACGCATTCTTTAAAAATCTCACTTATATGGATTTGAGAGAGATCCGGCTGAGTGGAAACCCGCTTGTTATTCCTGAATCTGGACCTCTGTTCCCGAAGCAATTGTCTCAAGTTTCAATACTCGATCTAAGCAATTGCAACATTTTATCTTTAAACAGAGATGCTTTCAAAAACACCGAGAACATTACTGACCTAAACTTAGCAGGTAATCATATTAAATCTGGCGAAAACAGTCTGTCTTTCTTGGAACGTATTCATCACGTGGAAAAAATTAACTTGAGCAACAATAATTTGACAACGATAGAACCTGAAGTATTCATAAACAATCCTAAATTACGATCACTTAATCTGCTCGGTAATCCTTTCTTATGTAACTGCAAAATAGCTGAAATGTGGGACTGGGCGAACATGATAAAGGGAGATCTGGATATGTTGGTCGGTGCTAAAAGTGCTGAAAAAGACATCGTTGTAAAAGGGAACAAAAAGAAAAAGAATTTGTACTGCCATTATAACGAGACTCAGCTCCGCAATTTGACGCTAACGATTAATAAATCAGTACCGGGACGAAGACCTTTCGTAAAACCTAGAGAGCTCACATACGCCTATAGAACGTGGGCGAAATATGTGAGAGAGTCGGGCTGTGAACCAGTGGTGAAAATTCTAAGACCCGTCGCTTTAGTAGCCGATTTGTTTGATGTCAACAGCGGACATATATCCTCAACAGCTTTAGTTCTTGCTGTTCTCGCGTTAATTTTAGGCATGTCCACCTTAGTTATGACGATGAGATTGTTCCGGAAAAAAGCGCACATAATCATAGATACAGAACAAAGAAAATTGAGATAAACAATATGAAGACAAAAGATGTACCTAGTTATTTTGAATTTTATAATATTAATTTAATTACAAACACTATTTTTGTACGTATTTATACTAAACATTATAATTTTTAGGTTATTGTTGAAAAATTCTTTAAATATTAAGTAAAATCCATTGCCTAAATAAGTAGATTTATCTTATTTTTTTAATAGTTTTGTATATTACTAGTCATGTGTCATAGCGAAGTTGACGTTTCTCAGATAACTAAAAGACGATGTAACTAACTGTAACTTGTTAAAGATTTGTCAGTATTGATTTCACTAATAAAACTCATAAGATCTTCTCGTTATTTTATTACTACTTATTACTTCTCTCTTTCGTAGTGAATTCAACTTGTACAAGTTACATGATACTTCATTTAAACTTCATATAAACCATCAAATACCAACATAGAAGCATGTAAAAGTCTGGATATCTAGCCTTCTGGAAGGACCTATATTTAAATTATTAGGTGATTTAAAGTTAGAATATGAAATATTAAAAAAATCAGTTATACCGATTCATTTAAGGTCACACTTTTTCACATTATTAAGAAAATAACTAAATACACCACACTAACAACATTAGATTCAATTTTGAAATTTACAGAACTCACTAAAAAAGATCCCGTTGACAAAACAATTAGGAAACCGTGAATAACTTTTCAATTGCAATAATATTTTTTAACAAGACAAAAGCAATTAGTTTTTTTCCACTTGTTTCGGTGCACAAATGATTTCTTAAGCAATGCAACCTTATCAAATAGTGACGCTTTTACAAAATTAAATATAAAGAGATGTTTGTGATCTGATTGCAAACTGTTTTGCAGTTTAAGCTTTAGAATTAAATCTTTTAGAAGTAAAAAATACAAGGTTATTTATTAGTTTATTTTAATCATTTCAATTAGTATTTATTCTTGTCCTAAAAGTATTTCTTCGTTTGTGAAATGCATCAATTCATGTCGATTGATTATTGCGGAAGCATACATAATCAGTGTTTAGCGTTTTTTGCTCCCTTTACGGTACGGTGGCTGACTCCGCTGAAGACCGGAGAAATTTTTATTTTATTTCTATTTATAGTTGAATGGCAAAATCGGAGCAAGAAATAGATCGCGTCACGTAACGTATCGACGGAGAAAGTTTATTGCAGGATATTAAGCAATAATATAAGCATTTTACAATTAAAAAGAAACGAACTAGTAACCTTCAATTAATTTATTTTTATGCCACTACAATTAACTTACACTAACATTTGGTTTAATAAATAACTATCAGCTTCTGTTGCTGGCTCCCGATGTACTACTCTTTTTGATGTACCAATTTTCTTTGTATGTTTTTTTCCTCGCCCCGGGTTTTTCGGTTTCGTGCCTTACATTGCTCGCCATAGGCGCCAGTTCGCTGTCAAGAAGGTAAGGTAAGGCAGAAGGCTCGAAGCCATATTGAAACTGGGGTTCGACGAATTGTGTCTTTGTTTTAAATCTCTGAAGAGGTATGGAGCCACGAGCGGCGTTATCGCGGGGTGTTTCTTTGGCGTAATCGAATTCGTACAAAACTTGCGGTGCTGGCGCTGCCTGGTATCTCGCCAACTGTTGTTTAGGCTTTTCTTCTCGCTCGTAGTAGTAAGGAGCAGCGGAGTACTTAGCATTTTGCTTCTCAGTTTCTTCGTTTTTATTTTCATTTTGCTTTGCGCTAAAATAATTTTCTGGTTTATGTTGCGTATATGTCTTAAAGTATTCCTGTTTATTATTGTATCTATCGTTGATACTTTCAGGTTTTGCAGCAGTAAAATCTGAGTAATAATCTTCTTTCACTTTATCGCGACTGTCTTTGTAACTGGAGTGGGTTTCTTTTGGAAATTTATCGTTTTCCTCATAATATTGCTGGAAAGGCGCATGCTCGAAATTAAAATTATTATTCTCACGACCTAGCGCGTACGCTTCCGGGTTGTAAATATCCTTTTCGATTTCCTCAGAATTCCTCTCGTACCCTGGAAATCCAAACGCTGCATTTTTGTATGCTCTTTCGAAATTTTCTTCTTTATTTTCCTCTTCATTAGCCGGTTGTCTGTTCTGTTTTTCATGATTGTTACCTTCAGAAAAATCATGACTGCCTGTGGGTTTTTCATACGTATGAGCATTAGGGACATACTCATCATGCTGTTCGCGGTGTTGTCCTCCACTGTGTTGTGTTCCTTGGGGACGTTCAGGTTGCTGTCGGTGTATATGCTGCTCAGGATCTACTCGAATATGTTCGTTAGGCTTGTGTATAGGTAACTGGTTTTTATTATGGTACTTGGGAGGTCCGGCATGATAATGTCCATGGTTAATTTGAGAATTAACTAATTCCATAAAAGATTTTGGGAACTCGTGGTTATCATTGTTAGGTTCCTCTTCGTGATTTTTCTGATTTTGAGTCACTTGTCTATGTTCCGGTGCTAATTGTTGCGGGGACTGGGGTTTACTTGAGTATTCTTCATGTTGTATGTTGTGGCTTTTCTGTGGCGGTTGTTCAGGAGTATCATCATCTTCAGATAATTCTTCTTGCAGCTCGACTTTTGTCGCCGGCTGCTTCGCACGGGAATGGTCACTTTGCTCCTCATTTTTATTCTCGTCTTTGGGTGTATACGTTAATTGCTGTGGCCCTTGGTCACGATTTTCATAATGCACTTGATTTTCTTGCTGTGGCGCTTTAGAGTTATGCTCGTAACTATAATGCACAGGTTTTGACTGAACTTGTTTCTCGTAAGTGTATTGGATGGGTTCAGATTTTGTTTCTTTGTTATAGCTGTAGTGGACGGGCTGCGATTTCTCCTCTTTGTTGTAACTGTATGTCACTGGCTTCGATGTAGTTTCTTTATTATAACTTACAACTTGTTCCTTGTACGTTTCCTTATAGTTAGGCGAATTAATTTCATAGGAGATCTCTGGACTTGCATTAGGTGTTTCGTTTATTGTGATATCTGGAGTTGGATGATCGTTTCCATTATCGTTATATTGTGGTCGCGGTTGTTTCTTTTTATTGGTCTTATTCTTTGACTTTGGTTTATTTCTAATCACTCCACCTTCTTGAGGTTTGCGTTGAACAGGTTTTTGTTGTTTTTTGTTATTAGCATTGTAATCATGTAATGAATGATACGTAGCTTCATTAATTCTTGGCAAGAAATGTTGCACTTGAGGAACGAGGGGGTTAGCGAACGTCAATGGTTCAAGCAGACTGATGTCTAACAAAGGCAGTGGCGGTCTAGTTTCCAATGTTAAAACTGTTTTTTTACCATTAACGTAGGTGGTAACTTTGGCGGGAGCCGCTAGTAGTTGTTCTTTTTCAACGCGCAACGGTTGGGGATTATTAAAATTCGGGTTTTTGTTCTCTTGGGCAACTGGTAAGTTTCTAGGAGCCTCTTGTAAACGTTGAAATTTTGGTCCATTGCTTTGCTGTTCCTCAGATTGCAAGTTGACGAAAACTGCTTTATTGCTAGAGGGTTGTTGTTGTGCCACTGGATGAGGATTAAAATTGTTTTGCGGAACTGAAAAAGCTGCAAAATTCCTTATGTTTGCATTATGTAGGAATGGTTGAGGTACTGCATATCTCGCGAATGGAGAAGAACCGGGTGCTTGTAATCCTTGCACTTTGAACTGCGTCGGAGCAAAGAAATGTTGTGCCCCTTGGTGCGCGTCGGGTGCGCCGGACACTAAAGGCTGAGATAGGTGCAAGGGCAGATCTTGCAGCC